GAGGGGGAGGGGAGGGGGGGGGGGGGGGGGGGGGGGTGGGGGGGGGGGGGGGGGGGGGGGGGGGGGGGAGGGGTAAGTGAGAAGGATAGGAATAAAGGCATCTAGCAAGATAAAAAAAAAGTTCCATCAGAGCCAAAAAGCTCTTAATAGTGCAGGATTTTAGGTGGCTGACTCCAGGTCGCTCTAACTTCGGCACAGAGCAGCGACTCCACTTCATTTAATCTGAGCACCGGCCTCCTCGGCTCAACCTGCCTTTCAAGACCTTCACATTCATATCAAATGTCACAGAGAACACCGCAATCTGACTCGTACGCCAAAATCTGAGACAGTTATTGCAAAGACGCCTCGGAGTTACATTTATCACGCTCAAGGCAACAGTTGCAAACAGAGGAGCCTCTCATTCAGCAACATAGTCATCACTAATCAGAAGAGCTGCTTTGGCTTTAGAGGCTTTGCTTCCTAAGACAAACACATTCCTCTGGGTAATCAGCTAGCCCGCTCAAGGCCAAAGCTGACATTGTTTCAAACAATTAGTCCTGATGCTGACCGTGTCGCCCTCCCGATAAAGGCTTTCGGTCACACTCCACAGAGTGCCGCGCGCACGGGTGGCACAGGCAATAATCCTTTAAAGAAGACAGATTTCTTAGATTTTTTTTTTTCAAAGGTTTGATGGTGGATAACAAAACATATCTCATAACTTTTCTTGTGACACATTTACATGTCTTTTTTTGAAAAGAAGTTTTTAAACAAAAATGATGTTTGTTTTTTATTTTGTAAATATTAGCATTGATTATAATATGCTAGAGTTCAGGTTACTGAACTGATTCAGAAGCAAGGTCAGTCAGTGAAAGCAGCAGGGGTGGGAGAGTTTCTCAATTAAAACTAAAACAATTAAACTGTGAAAATGCCACACTTGATCTTGTCAAACTGAAGACTGTCTGGCAAAGCAGATGTGTGTTTGTCTCGCGGAGGCTAAAAGTACGAGCCTACAATGCAAAACTAAATGTTTGGCTTGAAACATTACACCTCTGGACCTATCTGTTCTTCAGGCTCTTAATTTGACATAAGAAAGGAAGTGAAAATTAAAATACCACGAATTCCAAAACGCTATGATGCTACTGCTTTGGAGCGTACTACCGGGTTGCTGCTGAAACTTTCTCTTTGTACTCTGAAGTCTGACTGTTCGAGTTACCAAAAGAAATACAACAGTAGCACATCCTGATGTTGGTCAGAACACACTGAGCAACCCAGAAAATAATATCTAATGTCGCTGCTACATCTACAGAAAGATGCTGGTGTAAGCTATTTCTTAACACTTCAGATGATTTGTATGTTATTTTTTATCAGTAACACACTTGGTGCTGTTACATATCTGTTCGTAAATATGTTTCTTTAGTGTTTTAAATCATAATTTGTCGCAAAATAAAGTTGCATTGGCATGCATTGCTAACTTTAGAACCAAAACAAAGTTTTCTGATTTGCATCAAACTAATCAAAGTTGATTTCCGCAAAGAATATGAATTCTTTAAATGCAGTTTAAGATTTAAGAAATATTCTGTTTCTGGAAACAGAAGAACGAATCAAATCTGCAACATGCGGACTTGTGAAGTCTGGATTTGATTCTTCATTAAAATGCAGCTGTTTGAAATATATACTCTTTTTTTTTTTTTTTTTAAAAACAAAAACTTGGGGGTTTTTGTTGGCCTCACTGAAAATATTGGCTCACATTGTCTCCTCGGCCATCTAATATTGCAGATCGTCTTGACTTGTGAGCTGAATGTATTGCCACACTCTAGCAATGGATCAGAAAAAATTATTAATTATTATTAATTACTTTGTGTAGCCTGTTGATCCGTTTTTATGAAGCGCAGAATGTCCCTGAAATTTTAAATAATATTACATACTGATTTCAGAAATAGTTCTGACTTTTATTCTATTTTGATCAGGAGGCCATCCTGTCCCAAAATGATCCCGCAAATCCTTCTGGTGTGAAACAAACTAGCAAGATTAAAACATTCATCAACAGCTTGACTGCCTGTGACCTTTTTGTTTTATTTCCTCCTCCTTCTAGGCTGATAAATGAGCCAACCTTTGTTCACATTCGGGCCCACCCTGTTGACAAACACAGCAAATCAAGTTGAGCTCCAGGAATGGCTTATGTAGCCTATTTTTTTCTTTCACCAGCATAAAAAAACCAGTAAATCAGACCATTAAAAAAGAAACTATTTGTCATTGCATTTCTAGCACTGAACACTTTCTGTAGTGAATGAGTGAAGATCCAGATCACATGCACACACTAAGCACACAGCTCACCTCATCGGGGCAAAAGTCCACATATTATATGAAGAGCAACCCGGAAGAATGAAGGCGACAATAGTAACTTCTCTGTGTAGTCGCTGAAGCATTTATTTTTATCCCCCACCCTGAATACACATGTCATGCCACTCCACTGGTTCCACTGGTTTCATTGCAAAGACTCCTTGATCACCCTTCCCATCACTGATTGCCTTTGTTTGCAATCAGCATGGCTACAGTGAGCTGGTAAAACAGGCATGTCGGGTAAACTTCTTAAGGCAAGTAGCTGAATTGTTTTTTTGTTTTTTTCCTGACAATGGATGAGTCAATCAATACTGAAAGAGTCTTTGGTCAGACACACAACCTACAGTCAAATGTTGCGGTGGTTTTAATAAAGAGGTCAAAAAAGAAAAAAAAAGGCTTTCAAGGCAAAAAGTACAATGAGAAGCAGCAATTTGAACGAGACAAGCGATGTAAAGGAGTCGAAAAGCTAGAAAGACATTTTTAAGGTCGGTATTAGCACTTTACCTTTATCCCGGTGCAGATACTGAAGGGTAGGCCAAGGAGACACAGCCTGTGTGTTTTATTCTACTGGCAATCCACACACGTTTGTCAAAAACTCTCTCTGTCTCTATCCATTCACCGAGCTGTGGTGTTGACAGGCAGAGTGCAGAGGTAAGCGAAGGTGGTTTTGTGTTTACCCTTCTCAGTGGCCAGAGGAGGAGAGGTGGGGCCACTCAGCACAGGTAACCCCTACCTTTCACTCCCTCCTTCAGTATCCCTATTGGTCACCTGATAAGGAATCGGACAAAAGGGAAGGTAAAAGGATGAAAGGGCACAGGGTGTGACGGGTTTGTGATAATCAGGAAAATGGAGAGGAAGAATCACAATGTTTCTCATTGCAGCTAAAATCAGCCACAATGCTACTCTAAATATGTCTAATCTGACATTTAACTACTAGGATAACTACCACAAGCTTACTGATTTCACTGTGCCACGACATAGCGTAGCATACTTGGTGTGTTGTAGAGTCGCCTCAATCTGATACCCAGTAACTTCCAGTCCTTGTTGATGGTAAAGCAAAGTTTGCAGCCTCAGGAATGTTCAGTCACACCAAATACAGAACCTAAGAAATTTCCGACAACAACCAGTCAGCTGTTTTACGGCAATGCTGCTTCATGAGTAACGGCCGCTGTTCCTCATATCTTGTCTGTTATGTCTGACAGGTAAACTGTCATAGACTCAATGAAATAGCTTCACTGAACTAAGAGATGTATCTCAGCTATGTTGATGTCTAAGAAATGACGTAGTTCAAGCGGTAAAACGAATCTGTGTTGATAAGTATCGGCAGTCTTGTTATTTGATCGCCTGACGGCCCAGACTCTGACGTAGCTACATGTTAATTTGGATGTAAACCAGGTAACTGTGATCTGACCACTCATGATGCAGCTTTAACGCCACATGTGAACGGTTTTTGTTAAAGTTTCTTTTTTTCTTTTAATTTGATTAGCCAGGACACATGCTAATACCAAATTAGCATGTGTCAAAGTTATGTTTAAAGATTTCATTTAATGAACCATAATAATGTCTTGTGAACGTTAGAAAAAACATAATAATAAAATAAATATGGTTATGATTTCATTGCAAATGTTGCAGTTTTAACATATCCATCTCCATGTTTTAAATTAAGGTAATGAAAAATACTCCACAGAAGGTGTAAATAGCTTGTCCTATTTTTGTTTTACAGCGTAGCTGTTTCTGTTCGTGCTTCAGGAAAGCTCCACCTGTGGAGGAAACTTATTAAGACAGAAACGTTCAAAGTAATGTGCTAAGTTTATGAAGCAGGAGGACAAAGCGATGCAAGTCTTTTCCACGTATGATTAAGCGCAACGGCACTGAAACATGTGAGCAGAACTGAGTCGTAATTAAACAGACAATAAACGTACTGGCATTAGCTTAGCTTTTGAACTGTTCAAACATCAGCAACAGGAGCATGTCTGCACATATATGTGTGTGTATTCATCCTTAAAAACAATGCACTTTTCTGGGGATAAAATGATTGTTATGCTATTCTACACTGGGGGATCCAGTTTCAACTGTTTCTGACCCTAACAAAAACCAAACATACACTCATATTCATATTCGTTCATTGTTTATGTCGCATTGCCCTGAGGTAAGTCGGATTCCTAAGCTGCATTGTCTTTCAAAAATTGTAGATAAATAAGTGCCATGAGAAATATTGTGACAAGGCACAGTTTCTGCTAATAATTTGGACTCACAATACACTGAAAACAGGTGAATCTACGAATACTGAACAACAAATAGGCAGAGCTGTACTACAAATCAGTTTCCTAACCACTAAAATTAACAGAAGCTCCAATATCAGTGTTGTTGGGTTTTAAGTACATTTTTTAATTCATTTGAAAGTCCAGCTTTAAAACTGAATATGCATGCTTTCATTGTTTCTGAATCACCTGAAACTGACTGAGAAAAATCAGTTTTGACACACAGCGCTATAAAGGTTTAAAAGACATGTTTGCTAGCGGATTCGTTCATTAGTGTGCTGCTGGGGGGTGAAAAGTGTGAATAAAACTAAGTCCAAAGCATTAAGAAGAAGAACAACTTTAAGTGTGCACCTTGATAAATCTGGTAATTAGACAGTTCAAATTATCCTGTTGTGCTAAATAAAACCTGAAAGGCCTTTCGGTGGTCACATACTGGGGAATACAGCAAATAGAGGGATAACGCAAACCAGACCAAAGCTGTCACATCGCAGTTATACAGACCAGAAACACAGCAAGTGTCAGAGAGAATAGGAAGGACTGACAATGTGTGGAAGTGTATATAACCTCAAACAACCCCGAAGAGAACGGGAGCCTGGACAGCTATCAGACAGGGTGCAACTCTATCAACGTAAGTGTGTGTGTGTGTGTGTGTGTGTGTGTGTGTGTGTGTGTGTGTGTTTGCTGATCCTTAGTAACGCATTAACCTACAACTCTGTTAATGAAGGACAAGCAATCAGTGATCAGCACTGTTTTTGCTATGCACTTCCATAAACTGTGTAGATAAATCCGTTCAAAGTTTTAAATGATGAAATCTCTCTACTGCACGGCCTGAGGTGCCTGAATTGAAGGCCACTCAGAATCATAAACCTACGTTACAGGTTGGCTGCGAAGGATACAAGCGTCAAGGCGACTTTATGGTCTGCACTATATAAAACAAGATGGATTTTTTTACTTTTCTGTTTAGACCTACATATCATCTTCAGTCATTGGTGTTTGTTTGTCCTGAGCAAAAAAAAAACACGAAAATATACAGGATTAAAACAGCAAAAAGCATTCCAAGTTGAAGAAATCTAAGTAGATTGGTGTAGCCTAAAACTGTTCTAAAAAGGCACTCTCAATTAGCTTCATGCTTTCAGTGTATAAATAATCCGGCCTCTAACAAGTTATAAAATGACTAAAATCTACCCCGCAGTGTAGAACACCGTTTCACTACTTTACCATTTTATTAAATAAAGACATTTTACTCATTTTTGGTGTAAAATGAGCTGGAAACCAAATTAGTCAAATGAATGTACCACAGTTTCTCTACATGGTTTCAGGTTCAGCCTAATTACATTAATTTTTGCATTAACATCTATGCTGGAAAACGTGATTAGTGGAAGGCAACATGTAACATTTACTTCAAGAGATGAACTTTTGTGTTTATATTATCTTTCTTTCTTGTTTATATTTCTACTTAACAATCTGCAAATAATTTTTATTTCCTTTTTTTTTTTTCTCAAAAATCTGACTGTAGCCTATCCCAGTGGTCAACGTTTGAAAGGTCTAAAGGTGGGCAGAGCAGTGAGTAAATATTCTAAGTATAAAGAATTGCTATGCTATCAGTGTAAATTTTATTGCATTTCCTTCAGCAGTCTAAATGTTTGCAAACTGTGTAAAGCGTTATCATTTTTTTCAGCCGTCACTTAATGGGTGTTGGACCTTACCCTTGACTGGCATGTAATAAAAGTGCTAACTCTTATTGTAAATCCTGGTACGATAAAGTAAAACATGGCTTGGTTACAAAATCTTTTTATAAAGCCCGGGCTGATATTTGAGCAAATGTGCGCGTTAGGGCAGTTTTGATTTTATGAATAAATACTTTGGCTGTCAGTGTGCCAGCAGAAAACTAGTCAGAATCACAAGGCTTTAGGTTCCAGATCGCCATGCCCAGGTCTAATCCTGGTGAGCTGCTGCCCTGCAACTCGTTACCAGCCGTCTGCATAGCTGAATGACACACTGATGAGGCAAGTATGCCTTTTAATCCAGGTGTGTTGGAGACGGGATGCACCTAAAAGTTGCAGAATAGAAGCTGTTCTAGACATCGACTTGGATTTAGAGTTTCTGATCTAAAGAAAAGATTCCAGTTTCAAAGTAAGAGAATTAGAAAAGCGAGAGATTTGGTAAAAACGTAAAGCATTCAGAAATGGTGCCTTTGAGTGACGTAAATCAGGAAAATGCTGATTTCAACATAACGTTGGGACGGATATAAAGCCATCAATCTCAATGTTAACAGAGACGTAGAGAAACTGGCCCTGCAGGTCTCCTATGAACCATGAAAAGATGTACACAAACAGAGCCGAGGCCGACGCTGGTGGCAGCCTCTTGTTTATCATCAAAACTCCTCACGGATCACAAAAACAGGACAATATTCTTTAATAGCAGCACGGTTTCTGTATGCTTGTGAAACACAGCTCGGATGGACTTCGTGTGGTTACAAATGCTTTGGATCAGAATACGCCATTGGTCCCAGAGACTGTTTTAAATGCATATTTAGCATAAAATAGAAACGTCAACTGCTCTGTAAAAGACTGAGTCAATTCAGTGTCAAAATCTCAGTGGCCAGCAAGAATACGAATGAAGAAGTTGTTCCAGCGAGAAGCACTTTAACTGTGATGTGAATTGGCAGAACACAACTAAAATTAAATGATTATTTACATACACAATATTTCTTCCGTTCTCCGCTTCCTTCCACTTTGTATAACCAAACTACTTCATATCCAGGTACTCATGCAACTGTTTATCTGTCTTGATTGTTGAGAATTCTGATGAATTATGCAGACAATTAAACATTTCACATAAATCAAAAGATAATTAATTCAACGTAGTGATTGTTGTGCCGACTCCTGTTTGGGCAGGCTGACCCTAACATTTGTTACAGTCACACAACCACATTTCCTTACTGCTGACTCTCCCATGATTATAGAAAATTATTTTAAATGCCAGCTCTTGCATGAAGGGAACATGATCCCGCCTCCAGCCACCTCCAAACCAATCAGAAGCAAGAGAATTGTCTAAATTCTGGTATGGGGTAAATTAGAGTGCACTCCCTCATAAAGCATGTAAAGTATCTCCCTATTGTCAGCAGCAAGAATGGGGACACTAATTATCAACTGACAGCAATAGAAAACATGTTCCAGCTGCAAAGCAAACACATCAGGTCATATGACATCTCAGAAAATATGGAATTTCCTGTTGATGTGTGCAAAGTCTGGACTGGAAAAAGTGTTTTAGTTTTCTACAAGTAAATCTTAATTTAAAAAAATATCCAAATGTTTTACTATAGATTTGATACTTAAGTACGATAATGTGTTTGATCTTTGATTTTTTTTTTTTTCTTTTTCTTCTGTGACTACATTTAGCACTTTGCCCATCTGGATTTAGAGAGTCTTTTGGATAATTAGGTTTTGATTTGACATCTGCTATAGATTTTTAAATCAACTAATCTAAATTAGTTTAGATGAACAAACAACTGTGAAATATTCCCTCAACACTCCTGAATTGTCCTTCTCTTGTTTGTAATTTGTGAAACATACAGATCACTCGACTACTTTAATATTTTCCAAAGCCTTGTCCTGAAAATCTGACCCTGCTAAAAACTTGACAGAGAAAAATCCAGAAATTCAGGCCTGTGTGGATTGCAGAATGAAACAAAAACTCAGGAACACTGACACTCTCATGACTCTATCTGAAAATATGCGATCTGTGTTCAAAGAAATCTAAATTAGTCCACATCACGACACATTAGCTATTTAATTTAAGGCAGGGCTAGTCAAACACAGCACCATCATTAGATAAGTAACCTTCAACCCAAAATAACGAGACAGTAACTGAAACAATGCGACAGGCGGGGGGGTGACTGCTCTATATTGTCTGTAAACGTTATAGTTACTGAAAACATAAACAGAAATTAAATGAAAAGTCTGTGTTAGGCCTGCAAGGCATGTGAGATCAGCTAGAAGGCCACAGCTGGACAAAACGTCAAAAAATTTCTTCCAAGACAAAAATGATCCAACATGCATTCAACTCAGTGATGTCGTATACGTGAGCATCGGAGGTTCTGGGTCTCATCGTGACGCCATTCGAACAGCCTTCTGATCTGCTTCACATGCGACACACATAAAATATGTTGGAAATAATTCGTCGGTGACTAAAACTGTGGGTTAGTATGACAGAGGAGGGGGGAACAGGATGCAGAAAAGCTTCTGCTAGATTACCAGAACAAAATGTTCAAACACATCACTTACAGCAATCATACTTAGTAAAACTTTGAACTGACAGAAAATCTTCCGCCCTGCTCCTTTTTAGCACTTTCTCAGCAAAACCGACAACGTGAAATCCCACAACTCCTGTCAGCCAATTCCAGAGTTGCTCCTCTGATTAGCAAAATGACTCAGCACAAAAGCGAGACCTCTCTGCCATCCTGCCACACACACACACACACACAAACACACACAAATACAAGACAATGAGATCTCATTTATTTTTTCCCCCTTCCTTCATTCTGATGAAAGACGCTTCCCCTTTTGCCTAGAAGTCGGTCAGCTGACGCTCGCTCTACATGCAGTCATGTGGCCTGTCGCTAACCAGCAGAGGACAAGGCACAGCGTGTGCGTTTCTGTGCTACAATCACTGCCAAGGTCAAGGAGAAAAGGAAGGAGGAAGGCAGGGCCGCAGAGATAGGGAGGAAAATCACTGAAGCAGCTCAAAAACTTGAGGACAACAAAAAGCTGTCATGCTGATGACATGTAAGCCGCAGCGCAGCTGCTTATTTTCTGCCCAATAGCCACTAACCACCTTAACGTCAACGTGGATGACTGTCCTAACTCCCTGTACCAGGAAATAATCCCAGTTATCATGTGACAAATGGAGGCCTCACGAAGTAAAGGGGGCTAAATTTAGCTAAAACTTCAACAGAGCTCATGTGAAAATTAGTAAATAAATGTGTAGATAGGCGCTTGTTTTCACTGTTTGTGTTTTGTATTACTCCAGCTTCATAACATGCAAATTGTTCCTTGCATTTTTTTTTTTTTTTGTCATTTTGTGGCAAAATGAGAGGATGACAAAAGTAAAACAGAGACACACCCGTCTCGGTTCTAAATCACTCAAACACAAGAAAAGTAAAAAAACAAAATCTTCTTTTCGTTGTACGCAGTGACATTTTAAAGTATTTCAAACATATCCTAATCCCTACAGTAACATATGGTGGTGGCAGCATCGTATTGTGTCGATGTGCTTGAAATGACCCAGTAAAACTCCGGACGTTGATCCAAATAGAAAGCTTGCTAATGGGCTAATTAATTTCTCTGAGGAATGGCTGTGGCTTAGTGGAAAAAGCTCTTGTGGGTTGAGTTCCAACTTCTTCCTTGAAAGAAGGCAAGGCACTTATCCCCAAACTAATTGAAATATGGATGTGGGCATATTGCAAAAATACTCTGACACTCTAGTCTGCAGATGTTTAGCCCGTTTACTGAAACTTTAAAATATGTGTTTCCTGACGCTCTCTTCAGTTTGACTGAGTTTGAGTGACTTTGCAAAGAAGGACAAACATTTAGTTTCTAGAAGAGAAAAGCTGGAAGGACAAACAACAAAAAAAAATTTTCACGATTTTTTTCCCAATTAAATCCCAATTAAATACGGCGAAGTTTGTGGACGTAATGTAACACAACAAACTGTGAGAAAGTTGAAAGGCTTTTGTAAAACACTGTAGATCACAGTGTTTTGCAGATTACAGCACAGTCAGATTTAATTACCAACGTGTTTGTTCAAATTCAACTATGATTCTGCATCATGCAGACCAAGCCCAGTTTTATCAAATTTTATGTTGCTTACTCCCACAGTCCAAAAATATACAAGTCAAGCCAATCAGCCGCAGTGAGTGTCACTTTGTTGGCTTGTGCTGAAATGGCGGTCTGTTCGGGATGTAACCCTGGAGGCAGTCACAAGTCACCGAATGAAAATATCAGGCGACAACAGAACCTGGTTGTGGAAACATTACACTGCGAACTGAAATAGGTTCTCCAAGGCCTCGAGTTCATCACAGCACAGGAGTTGTGAAGAGTTGTCGGTGGAAGTGCAACCTGGAATGGAAAAACGTGTGAAGCTGACCAGCATCTTTTCAGGAACGCTTTCCTGGTTTCTGTAGATAACTCGCTTGGACAGTTTAGGTTTCATCTGCACAGAAACAGATCGTCAGGATCATCAGATTTAGTGGAAAAGGTTAGCAATAAAAATGGAAAATGGAAAGAAGATGGAAGTGTGTGAAAGAAATTATAGTTCACCATGAAACAGCCGGACTTGCTTAGAAACTCACCTAAATGAGTCACAATATTTACTTTCTCCTCAAACGCATTTTTTTGTTCAGTTCACAGAACGACTATTGCATTATTTTGCAAACATGAGCAATAGGATTTCTATTTTCTTTTCCACGACACACCCTTGAATGCCTAATTTCCTAGGAAATCACAAATAGGCTCCCACATTCTCCAACTCCTAACAGTTTATTTTACCACATTTGTATTCCTTACATTACAGAATATTCTTTAATATCCATGCACTTGTGTTTTAATGTGCAAGGATTTCATTTTTTAGCAAACCGACGGTCTTTGCCGTCCCCTGCTACTTGGAAAGACAAAATGTTCCCCAACGCCGCTCGCCTAAAAGCCTCTCACACCCACATCCAGTAAGGTGAGAAGGGGAAAGCATAGCCGGCCGATAAGAGCTGAATGAAAAGCTGCTAGAATTCAGCGGCCGTGAACTCAGGCTAACGCCCCCAAACAGGGACGCACAAAGGCAGAACTGCTAAACGATGTCACGCAAACTTCACAGTCAGGTGTTTCAAGGCCCGGAATAAAACGAAATCATCCTGAGAAACCAAAGCTGTGCGTAACACACCCGTCGCCCTGCCTGCACGCTGACGCCGCTAACCCAACAAAAGACAGGAGTGTGGGAACGGGTCAGAGGAGAAACATGGACGAGAGAGAAAATGACGAACCAGAGCGTCTGTGCGTAAGATGAGTGTGCTTGTGTGTGCAAGAGCGGCCTCCGTGCGACTACTCTGTATCAGTTTTGTGAACGGGTTCATAGTCCGATACACCATATGGGACATTCCATTCTGGCACATCCCGGGGAGGCAATATGTGGGCTTGTGGGTGAAACCCTGTCATGAAAGGCAGAGTCGTACAGTGTGAAGTTTCTTTCCTTTGGAGCCGCTCGCTTTCGAGCACATAGACACACACACACACACACACATCCCATCCGTATTTACTTCTCCTCCAAACCAGAATCAAATCACACACGCTCGCACACCTTGCCACGGCCAGCTGTCTGGACAACTGGGCTATTGTGTGGAGCAACAGGTATGCATAGGAGAGTGTCTCTGAGAACAGCCACCAGAAATCTGAGGATGTGTGCACAGCGCTGGTCAGAGGTTTACATAAAGGCGAGCCCAAAGTTATTCACACCCCGCCGAGACGCACACTAACAATGATTAGGAAATGAGGCAGGAGTCTCTCAAGAGACAAAATAACATATTTTTGGGGAAAACAGTATTAATATGTTTTCTATATTTAAAAAACAAACAAACAATAAACAACACTTCTGAGTAATCAATGGAAAAACCACTATTGACACCAAACACTTCTTATAAATGTTAATACTTTTGAGGGTTTATCTTTGGTGATGAGCTCCAAGTTGTAGAGGCTGGAAGACCTCCCTGCCATCACCCTAATCTTCCACCACAGATTCATTTTCAGATTCAGATCAGTACTTTTGACTAACATCCTTCAAAACATTGACATGACTTCCAGTACGAGGAAACGCATTGGTAAAATGGAAAGATTACTTTTTTCTCTTCTAGTTTATCAGGTTTTCTTTAGTCTTATTGTTTCTCTAGTATTAGAAGTATTTTCCGCTCCCTGGTGTTATTCTCCAGTATATCTCCTTAGCTTCCCTGTGCCACCTTCTCCCTGTGCCTCAGCCAGATCCTGTGCCAACTACTCACACCTGCAATCTACCTGGAGCAAATTGTTCCATTTGCTGCCTCCCAGTATTTAAGCTCCTCTATCTCAGTCACAACTCGCCAGTCTGTCTCATCACTTTGCTCGTCACTCTGTTTTTTTTGGTTGTTGTTTTTTTTATTCTTTGCGCTCCGTTGGATTGTTCACATTTGGAAGTTTTCTTCTTCATTTATTCATATTAAATTTTCATATTAAAACTCCACATTACGTCTCCAGCCTGCTGCATTTTGGGGTCCACTCCTCGACCAGTCGTGACATGAATCTTGTCGACAGCTGGGTGCGCCAACAGGATAATAATCCCCCAGCAGAGATCAAACCAGGATCTAGTCTTGACTCATATTGGGAATTTGTTGACCCCGTTTGAAGACCAACCAGTTAAAATGAACTCTACCAATTCTGATAAGAACATCAGTCAAATAACCATCTAGAATTATGTCAGAAGTTTATCGATGGCTGTAAGAAGTGTGTTTTTCCCCCTGTTTGCTATGGAACGTCTAACCGAGTATCAGTCTGGGTGTAAGTATATTTGAGCTGTATGAATCATTTTAACCATGTCTGGAGTTCAGAAAAAGCAACATAAATTCAAACCTTTTCACTGCATTCTTTAAAAAAAAAAAAAAAAAAAAAAAAACCTGAAGTAGTTTTTTAAAAAAAAAAAGTAAAAAAATTAACAAAAATACAATTCTAAAT